CCCTGGGCACACAGAAGACTGGGTGACTTGGAAGGCGCTGAACAGACTGCGCTCTGGCACCACGAGATGCAGAGCCAATCTTAAGAAATGGAGCTACAAAGTGGAATCCACGACATGCGAGTGTGGAGAAGAGCAAACCACTGACCACCTGCTGCAATGCAACCTGAGTTCTGTGACATGCACGATGGAGGACCTTCTTGCAGCAACACCAGAGACACTCCAAGTGGCTAGATACTGGTCAAAGGACATTTAATCAGCTACCAAGTTTGCAAAATTTGTGGGTTTTTTTATCTGTTTGTTTGTTTTGTTCTGTTAGAAATGTAATACAATGTTCTGGTTGCGGATGACACGATAAATAAATAAATAAAACATTTTCTTGTGGTTGATCCATCTTTTTTATTTTTTGTGTCCATACAAAAATATGGACTTACTTATGAGCGTAATAATTGTGGATTTTTTCACAGATGTCTTGCATTCATACGCAGAACAAAAATACATTTTAATCTATTTTGTATAGCATGTCATGTTAAAAGAATATTGAGAGGAGTGGAATGAAAGTGGCTTCCCTTTTCTGGGCTCATGGATTCTCTAGTTTACTCTATGCCAGTGGTTCCCAATCTGGGGTCCCCAGATGTTTTTGGCCTTCAACTCCCAGAAATCCTAACAGCTGGTAAACTGACTTGGATTTCTGGGAGTTGTAAGCCAAAAACATCTGGGGACTCCAGGTTGAGAACCACTGCTCTATGCTCTTTCCACTCCTCTCTTTCCCCTGCTCCACTAACACCAGCTGACTGCCTTGGACATTCGGAATTTAATTTTTAAAATGTGTATGTCACAATACATATTTATAGGCAGTAGATGAGGCCCCTAGAACCATAAGGAATGCAAAAAACATGATTAAGAACTCATTCTCAAATTATCCGTCTTGAAAATTAAATTGCCCCCACCCCCACCCCATGTGCATGAGCCCCACGTTGGGAACCAGGGTTCTTAAACTTCCTGGCAGTTCCAGATACCTTAATTCAGATTATTGTAGGGTTGCACGAGTTGCATAAGGCCCCTCAGAATCTAGGACACTATGAACAATTTTTATCCAGAGTTTTTTCTCGCATCTCCTCTCCCCTCTACACAGCACCTTTGCCCACACAGTTCAGTACTCTCTCGCCTACTACGCAATACATTTTCTTCACATGCTTTGCAACCATCAGACCACTTCACAGACTTAAAGGAAGACCTGCAAGAAAGAACTGGCTTCTTAAGGGGGAAAATCCTGTCATTCTGCAAACTGTTTCCAAATGCCCTGAGTCCTTATATTGGAGGAAGGCTGGATAAAAACGAAGTAATAAGTAATGAGAAATACAAACCATCACTGTTGTTAATAGTAAGCCAAGTAAATCTTATAAAACCTACATGGATATGGACAAAAAATGGTTGGAGACGCATAACAAATGTTTTCCCAAATGCAAGATATTTAGATCCCAGTCGTGGAGCTTGAACTGGGGAGAATAACAATTTTCTCAATATAGCAAACATTGTTTTTCAGCACTTCACATTGACAAAAAGGCATTATTATTATTATTGTTGTTGTTGTTGTTATCAGAGGAAGTAGGGGCGAGATACAGGGGTGCATTTACACTGTAGAATTAATCAAATTTAGCACTCTTTGGCAGGGAAAACTACAACTGCCAGGATTCTATCACATTAGTGCTATGACAGTTCAAGTGGCTTCAAACTGTATTCATTCTCCAGTGTAGATGCACCCTTGGAGACAATGCATTTTTAATTTGAGCAACTGGAGAAGGCAGTATCTGGAACTTTCGACTTACTCATTTATTAAGTTCTGTGTGCTAATCATTCAAAATATATAATTACATATCTACCTATATCTATATACAAATATATATTAATTCCTATATAGAGATATGCACATATCTATCCATGTTGTACAAATATAGGTGTGTGTGTGTATCCATACAAACATACATTTATGTATCATATATAGATTATTGTAAGCTGCTTTGAGTGTGTTTCTTAGAGAGAAAAAGTAGAGTATAGATAATAATAATATCTCTATATAGATATTTATGGATATCTATCAATATAAAGATATAGATATACATATCTATCCAAATATAAACACACATATTCATAGATATACATATCTATATAAATAAAAATGTAATGTTCATTTATGGGATTAACATAACTCAAAAACCACTGGACGAATTGATACCAAATTTGGACACAATACATCTATCAGGCCAACGAGTGACCATCACTCATAAAAACACTGAAAAACACAGCAGAAAAGATTTAAAAAGCCAAAAAATTACATTACAATGCATGCACAAAACCACATTTATATATGCAAACACACATATATACACATATACACAAATATATACACATATATACACACACAAAACACACATAAACAGATTGGGTCATTAGCAACACATGGCAGGGGACAGCTAGTCTATCCATAAACAAATATAGATACATATTTATCTATATAAAGATATAGATATACATATCTATCTACCTATCTAAAGACATCTATCTATCTATAGGTTGTTGTAGGTTTTTTTGGCTTATATGGGCTATATGGCCATGGTCTAGAGGCATTCTCTCCTGACGTTTCGCCTGCATCTATGGCAAGCATCCTCAGAGGTAGTGAGGTCACTACCTCTGAGGATGCTTGCCATAGATGCAGCTGAAACGTCAGGAGAGAATGCCTCTAGACCATGGCCATATAGCCCGAAAAAACCTACAACAACCCAGTGATTCCGGCCATGAAAGCCTTCGACAATACATATCTATCTATAGATAGACATCACTATCTTTATATGTCTGTCTGTTTATAGATACATATATTGATAAATATCTATCTATCTATCCCTACACAAATATCCATATACAGACCTATCTATATACAGATACTGTATACATACTAGATATCTATCCAAATAAAGATACTGATATAGATATCTATCTATCCACATGAAGATAGATATACATTTCTATCCTTATTTAATACATAAATATACACAAATATATATAAATATACATCTCTCATCTGTATACAGATAGATATATACATATTTAATCTATATAAAGATATAACATTTTATTGTGGTCCAAAGACTCTTATTATATAAACATATAGGCATACATATTTAATTATCTATCTATCTATCTATCTAGATATACAGCTCTATCTATATACATACGATATATCGAACCATATGTAGGCATACATATCCGTATAAAGATACTGATATAAATATCTATATAGAGATTTTGATATACATTTCTATCCATACACATAGATATAAATATACATATGTTTATGTATCTCTATATATAGATTTAGATATACCTCTTTATCCATATGGATAGATATACAATACATATTTATCTATCTATAGATAGATATACATATCGATCTATATAAAGATGTTGATATACATTTCTATCCATACACATAGATATCAATATACATATGTTTATGTATCTCTATATATAGATTTAGATATACCTCTTTATCCATATAGATAGATATATAATACATATTTATCTATCTATAGATAGATATACATATTGATCTATATAAAGATGTTGATATACATTTCTATCCATACACATAGATATAAATATACATATGTGTTTATGTATCTCTATATATAGATTTAGATATACCTCTTTATCCATATAGATAGATATATAATACATATTTATCTATCTATAGATAGATATACATATCGATCTATATAAAGATGTTGATATACATTTCTATCCATACACATAGATATCAATATACATATGTTTATGTATCTCTGTATATAGATTTAGATATATCTCTTTATCCATATAGATAGATATATAATACATATTTATCTATCTATACATAGATATACATATCAATGCATAGCAGATATAAAATATACATATATAAACACACATATCTGTATATAGGTTTGCATATTGATATCTCTATATGATCTAATAATCTCTATATGATCTACCTATATATATATATCCACTTATTTACTCCTATCTATTAATATATAGATCTCTATATATATCTTCAGATAGAAATTTCTATAGATGGACAGATACAAATATATATATACACCTCCCTCTGAGTCTAATATAGATTTAGATATACCTCTTTATCCATATAGATATATATAATACATATTTATCTATCTATACATAGATATACATATCAATGCATAGCAGATATAAAATATACATATATAAACACACATATCTGTATATAGGTTTGTATACTGATCTATATGATCTAATAATATCTTTTATATGATCTATATATATATATATATATCCACTTATATATCTATTAATATATAGATTTCTATATATATCTTCAGATAGATATCTCTATAGATGGACAGATAGAAATATATATATACATATACATATGCATGCATAATAGATATAAAATATACATATACATATATAAACACACATATCTGTATATAGGTTTGTATATTGATATCTCTAATAATCTAATAATATCTCTATATGATCTACCTATATATATATATATATATATATATATACTTATATACTCATATCTATTAATATATAGATCTCTATATATATCTTCAGATAGCTATCTCTATAGATGGACAGATACATATACATATGCATGCATAATAGATATAAAATATACATATACATATATAAACACACATATCTGTACATAGGTTTGTATATTGATATCTCTAATAATCTGATAATATCTCTATATGATCTACCCATATATATATATATATATATATATATATATATCCACTTATATACTCATATCTATTAATATATAGATCTCTATATATATCTTCAGATAGATATCTCTATAGATGCACAGATACAAATATATATATACATATACATATATATATGTATGTATATACCTCCCTCTGTGTCTACACAGGGAATCTATCGCGGGATAATTCCCTTCAGAGGCCTCTTACCCAGGTTCTGCCCCACTGGGGTGCTGAAGGGGTTCCCCAACAGAAACTCCATCTTGGGATGACAACAAGCCCCGGCCTCTCCGCTCCTCCCTCTCTGCCCCGCCTCTTGTGTCTGACTGACAGCAGAACCAGCCAAAGGTCTCCCCCGCTGCCTCCTTCACCCCACCCCCGGAAATGTACATGAAATCATCACTGCACGACGATTGGACGGACCGCACGCCAATCACCCTCAGGCCTGTCTGAGTTGCCTGACTTCCAAGGCGTCAGACAAGCAAGGAGGAGGCGGGCTTCGCCTCCAAAAAGCCTCATTCTATTGGGTATCCTCGAAAGCCCCGCCGCCGATTGGACAGCGTCCCAACTAAGGAGCCAATCCCGAGAGGGGAACGATTGTTTATGCCGCTTCTCATTCGCAGAGGGGATTGCCAAAGGCGGTTCCGGATCACGTGACGAACGAGACCCGAAGGGGGTTTGGAAATGTTGTGGTCAGGTGACCGCCGGCCTTAGCAACGGCCGAGGCTTGCCGAGCAACGAGGCCTACAGGGAAAGACTGTAGTAGTTTGGGCAAAAGAAGGCGAGATTGGCTCCAGACAGGCTGTGAGTCGACTGGTAAAGCAATCTATAGAGCTGGGATTCGTGTAATATTAGCACCACAGGCTGTAATTTAACTGGTATAGAGTGAAATCAGTGTAATATTTGTATGACAGGCCGCAGTTCAACTGATATAGCCCTCTATAAAGTGAAATCAGTGTAATATTTGTATGACAGGCCGCAGTTCAACTAATATAGCCCTCTATAAAGTGAAATCAGTGTAATATTTGTATGACAGGCCGCAGTTCAACTAATATAGCACTCTATAAAGTGAAATCGGTGTAATATTTGTATGACAGGCCGCAGTTCAACTAATATAGCACTCTATAAAGTGAAATCGGTGTAATATTTGTACAACAGGCCGCAGTTCAACTAATATAGCACTCTATAAAGTGAAATCAGTGTAATATTTGTATGACAGGCCGCAGTTCAACTAATATAGCACTCTATAAAGTGAAATCGGTGTAATATTTGTATGACAGGCCGCAGTTCGACTAATATAGAAATCTATAAAGTGAAATTGGTGTAATATTTGTATGACAGGCCGCAGTTCAACTGATATAGCACTCTATAAAGTGAAATCAGTGTAATATTTGTAAGACAGGCCGCAGTTCAACTAATATAGCACTCTATAAAGTGAAATCGGTGTAATATTTGTATGACAGGCCGCAGTTCGACTAATATAGCACTCTATAAAGTGAAATCGGTGTAATATTTGTATGACAGGCCGCAGTTCAACTGATATAGCACTCTATAAAGTGAAATCAGTGTAATATTTGTATGACAGGCCGCAGTTCAACTAATATAGCACTCTATAAAGTGAAATCGGTGTAATATTTGTATGACAGGCCGCAGTTCGACTAATATAGAAATCTATAAAGTGAAATCAGTGTAATATTTGTATGACAGGCCGCAGTTCAACTGATATAGCACTCTATAAAGTGAAATCAGTGTAATATTTGTATGACAGGCCGCAGTTCGACTAATATAGAACTCTATAAAGTGAAATCGGTGTAATATTTGTATGACAGGCCGCAGTTCAACTGATATAGCACTCTATAAAGTGAAATCAGTGTAATATTTGTATGACAGGCCGCAGTTCAACTAATATAGCACTCTATAAAGTGAAATCAGTGTAATATTTGTATGACAGGCCGCAGTTCAACTAATATAGCACTCTATAAAGTGAAATCAGTGTAATATTTGTATGGCAGGCCACAGTTCAAGTAATATAGCACTCTATAAAGTGAAATCAGTGTAATATTTGTATGACAGGCCGCAGTTCAACTAATATAGCACTCTATAAAGTGAAATCTGTATAGGAAGGATAATAATATCGAGGATAGTTTTGACGGTGTGGTGAATGAATTAGAACCAGACATCCTGAGGAGTGAGGTGAAATGGGCCTTAAGAAGCATTACAACAAGGCAGCAGGAGACGACGGGATCCCAGCTGAACTGTTTAAAATCTTAAAAGATGATGCTGTCAAGGTGATGCATGCCATATGCCAGCAAATATGGAAAACACAAGAATGGCCATCAGACTGGAAAAAATCAACTTATATCCCCATACCAAAAAAGGGAAATGCGAAAGACTGCTCCAACTTCCGTACAGTGGCCCTTATTTCTCATGCCAGTAAGGTAATGCTCAAGATCCTGCAAGGAAGACTCCAGCAATACATGGAGCGAGAGTTGCCAGACGTTCAAGCTGGGTTCAGAAAAGGCAGAGGAACGAGAGACCAGATTGCCAATATCCGCTGGATAATGGAGAAAGGCAGGGAGTTTCAGAAAAACATCTACTTCTGCTTCATTGACTATTCTAAAGCCTTTGACTGTGTGGATCATAATAAATTGTGGCAAGTTCTTGGTGGGATGGGCATACCAAGCCACCTTCCCTCTCTCCTGAGGAATCTGCACAAGGACCAAGTATCAACAGTCAGAACTGACCACGGAACAACAGACGGGTTCAAGATTGGGAAAGGCGTACGGCAAGGCTGCATCCTCTCACCCAACCTTTTTAACTTGTATGCAGAACACATCATGCAAGGATGTGCGGGGCTTGATAAATGCAAAGCTGGGGTGAAAATTGCTGGAAGAAACATTAACAACCTCAGATATGCAGATGACACCACTCTGATGGCCGAAAGCGAGGAGGAGCTGAGGAGCCTTCTAATCAAGGTGAAAGAAGAAAGCGCAAAAGCTGGATTGCAGCTAAACATCAAAAAAACCAAGATTATGGCAACAAGAATGATTGACAACTGGAAAATAGAGGGAGAAAATGTGGAGGCCGTGACAGACTTTGTATTTCTAGGTGCAAAGATGACTGCAGATGCAGACTGTGGCCAGGAAATCAGAAGACGCTTCCTTCTTGGGAGGAGAGCAATGTCCAGTCTCGATAAAATAGTAAAGAGTAGAGACATCACACTGGCAACAAAGATCCGCATAGTCAAAGCCATGGTATTCCCCGTAGTCACCTACGGATGTGAGAGCTGGACCTTAGGGAAGGCTGAGCGAAGGAAGATAGATGCTTTTGAACTGTGGTGTTGGAGGAAAGTTCTGAGAGTGCCTTGGACTGCGAGAAGATCCAACCAGTCCATCCTCCAGGAAATAAAGCCCGAATGCTCATTGGAGGGAAGGATACTAGAGACAAAGTTGAAGTACTTTGGCCACATCATGAGGAGACAGCAAAGCCTAGAGAAGACAATGATGCTGGGGAAAGTGGAAGGCAAAAGGAAGAGGGGCCGACCAAGGGCAAGATGGATGGACGGCATCCTTGAAGTGACTGGACTGACCTTGAAGGAGCTGGGGGTGGTGACGGCCGACAGGGAGCTCTGGCGTGGGCTGGTCCATGAGGTCACGAAGAGTCGGAGACGACTGAACGAATGAACAACAACAAAGTGAAATCAGGGTAATATTTGTATGACAGGCCGCAGTTCGACTAATATAGCACTCTATAAAGTGAAATCAGTGTAATATTTGTATGACAGGCTGCAGTTCAACTAATATAGCACTCTACAGAGTGAAATCGGTGGAATATTTGTATGACAGGCCGCAGTTCAACTAATATAGCACTCTATAAAGTGAAATCAGTGTAATATTTGTATGACAGGCCGCAGTTCAACTGATATAGCACTCTATAAAGTGAAATCGGTGTAATATTTGCATGACAGGCCGCAGTTCGACTAATATAGCACTCTATAAAGAAAAATCAGTGTAATATTTGTATGACAGGCCGCAGTTTGACTAATATAGCACTCTATAAAGTGTAATCAGTGTGATATTTGTATGACAGGCCGCAGTTTGACTAATATAGCACTCTATAAAGTGAAATCAGTGTAATATTTGTATGACAGGCCGCAGCTTGACTAATATAGCACTCTATAAAGTGAAATTGGTGTAATATTTGTATGACAGGTGACAGTTCAACTAATATAGCACTCTATAAAGTGAAATCAATGTAATATTTGTATGACAGGCCGCAGTTCGACTGATATAGCACTCTATAAAGTGAAATCAGTGTAATATTTGTATGACAGGCCGCAGTTTAACAAATATAGCACTCTATAAAGTAAAATCGATGTAATATTTGTATGACAGGCCGCAGTTCAACTAATATAGCACTCTATAAAGTGAAATCGATGTAATATTTGTATGCCAGGCCGCAGTTCAACTGATATAGCACTCTATAAAGTGAAATCAGTGTAATATTTGTATGACAGGCCGCAGTTCAACTAATATAGCACTCTATAGAGTGAAATTAGTGTAATATTTGTATGACAGGCCACAGTTCAACTAATATAGCACTCTATAAAGTGAAATCTGTATAGGGAGGATAATAATATCGAGGATAGTTTTGACGGTGTGGTGAATGAATTAGAACCAGACATCCTGAGGAGTGAGGTTGAATGGGCCTTAAGGAGCATTGCTAACAACAAGGCAGCAGGAGACGACGGGATCCCAGCTGAACTGTTTAAAATCTTAAAAGATGATGCTGTCAAGGTGATGCATGCCATATGCCAGAAAATATGGAAAACACAAGAATGGCCATCAGACTGGAAAAAATCAACTTATATCCCCATACCAAAAAAGGGAAATGCGAAAGACTGCTCCAACTTCCGTACAGTGGCCCTTATTTCTCATGCCAGTAAGGTAATGCTCAAGATCCTGCAAGGAAGACTCCAGCAATACATGGAGCGAGAGTTGCCAGATGTTCAAGCTGGGTTTAGAAAAGGCAGAGGAACGAGACCAGATTGCCAATATCCGCTGGATAATGGAGAAAGGCAGGGAGTTTCAGAAAAACATCTATTTCTGCTTCATTGACTACTAAAGCCTTTGACTGTGTGGATCATAATAAATTGTGGCAAGTTCTTGGTGGGATGGGCATACCAAGCCACCTTGTCTCTCTCCTGAGGAATCTGTACAAGGACCAAGTAGCAACAGTCAGAACTGACCACGGAACAACAGACTGGTTCAAGATTGGGAAAGGCGTACGGCAAGGCTGCATCCTCTCACCCAACCTTTTCAACTTGTATGCAGAACACATCATGCAAGGATGTGCGGGGCTTGATAAATGCAAAGCTGGGGTGAAAATTGCTGGAAGAAACATTAACAACCTCAGATATGCAGATGACACCACTCTGATGGCCGAAAGCAAGGAGGAGCTGAGGAGCCTTCTAATCAAGGTGAAAGAAGAAAGCAAAAGCTGGGTTGCAGCTAAACATAAAAAAAACCAAGATTATGGCAACAAGAATGATTGACAATTGGGAAATAGAGGGAGAAAATATGGAGGCCGTGACAGACTTTGTATTTCCAGGTGCAAAGATGACTGCAGATGCAGATTGTGGCCAGGAAATCAGAAGACGCTTACTTCTTGGGAGGAGAGCAATGTCCAGTCTCGATAAAATAGTAAAGAGTAGACATCACACTGGCAACAAAGATCCGCCTAGTCAAAGCCATGGTATTCCCTGTAGTAACCTACGGATGTGAGAGCTGGACCATAGGGAAGGCTGAGCGAAGGAAGAGATGCTTTTGAACTGTGGTGTTGGAGGAAAGTTCTGAGAGTGCCTTGGACTGCGAGAAGATCCAACCAGTCCATCCTCAAGGAAATAAAGCCCGACTGCTCACTGGAGGGAAAGATACTAGAGACAAAGTTGAAGTACTTTGGCCACATCATGAGGAGACAGGAAAGCCTAGAGAAGACAATTATGCTGGGGAAAGTGGAAGGCAAAAGGAAGAGGGGCCGACCAAGGGCAAGATGGATGGATGGCATCCTTGAAGTGACTGGACTGACCTTGAAGGAGCTGGGGGTGGTGACAGCCGACAGGGAGCTCTGGCGTGGGCTGGTCCATGAGGTCACGAAGAGTCGGAGACGACTGAACGAATGAACAACAACAAAGTGAAATCAGTGTAATATTTGTATGACAGGCCGCAGTTCAACTAATATAGCACTCTATAAAGTGAAATCAGTGTAATATTTGTATGACATCCCGCAGTTCAAATAATATAGCACTCTATAGACGGAAATCAGTGTCATATTTGTAGGACAGGGCGCAGTTCAACTAATATAGCACTTTATAGAGTGAAATTAGTGTCATATTTGTATGACAGGCTGAAGTTCAACTAATATAACACTCTATAAAGTGAAATCAGTGTAATATTTGTATGACAGGCCGCAGTTCAACTATTGTAGCACTCTATAAAGTGAAATCGGTGTAATATTTGTATGACAGGCTACAATTCGACTGGTATAGTATTTTATAGAGTGAAAATAGTGTGATATTTGCACCACAGGCTGCAGTTCAACTGGTATAGTACTCTATAGAGCAGGAATTGAATAGAGCAGTTGAATAGGAGCCTGTCCTTGTAAATATTACATATACTGTACTGTATTTAATGATAGGCTGTAATTCAACTGGTGTAGTGCTTTTTAGAGCTGGGATTACTATGGATTATTTGCACTGTAGGCTGTAGTTAATAGAATTGGGATTACATTGCTTATAATGGTGGTGGCGCAGCGGGTTAAACCGCTGAGCTGCTGAACTTGCTGACTGAAAGCTCAGTGGTTCAAATCCAGGGAGCACAGTGAGCTCCTGCTGTTAGCCCCAGCTTCTGCCAACCTCGCAGTTCCAAAACATGCAAATATGAGTAGATCAATAGGTAACAGTGCTCTGGCAGAATGGTAACAGTGCTCCGTACAGTCATGCCAGCCACATGACCATGGAGGTGTCTACGGACAATACTGGCTCTTTGGCTTAGAAATGGAGATGAGCACCACCCTCCAGAATCAGACATGACTGGATTTAATGTCAGGGGAAAACCTTTACCTGTACCTTATGTGTTATTAACATTTCAAATTTCACTCCACAGGCTAAGAGAAACTGTTCTCTTTCCTAAATCTTGAGGGAATCTTTTCCTTTGAAACATGACCAGCCGGTTATATGACAGCATCGAACCCAATGTCATCGATGAAGAAATGCTGCAGAAAGCGGTGGAGGAGCAAGGGCCGCAGGAGGAAGCCGGCCAGTTGGCCAAGAAGGAAGGCATCAACTTCAAAGACGTCAAGGAACTGCAGCTGGATTTCAGAGGTAAGCCTTGAAGTACAAAATGACCTTGTGGACCAGTTTAAGCGGCTATGTGAATTCTCAAACCGAGGGTGCATCTACATTGTAAAATTAATGCCTTAATGATACTGTTGGGTGAGTGGGCTTATTAACAAAAACTCCTTGTAAATGAGCAGCAGCAGCATGACCCGGCATCAGTAGCCCTAAGGCAGTAGTTCTCAACCTTTCTAATTCCTTGACCCCTTAATACAGTTCCTCATGTTGTGGTGACCCCCAACCATAACATTATTTTTGTTGCTACTTCATAACTGTAATTTTGGTACTGTTATGGTCATGTAAATATCTGATAGTCAGGATGTATTTTCATTTACTGGACCAAATTTGGCACAAATACCCAATATTCCCACATTTGAATACTGGTGGGGTTGGGGGGCTTCAGCCCCCCCCCCCCGAAATTCTCATGGTGGTTCGCGAAAAGGCCTTACTGGTGCATTATTTAAACTGTTATGTTTATTCATATAATGATCTGATCACCATACTCAATATATCCCATATGCATGGGGGTATTGGGGTAATGATACAAAAGGTTTGCTAGGCTAGACCCTCTTTCACTCAGTCTCAGCCACACCCCCCCCCGAAACTCAGCCCCCCCCCCCGAACCCCCTCCCCCTGAAAAAAATTCAGCCCCCCCTCCCAAAACGAAATCCTGGCTACGGGCCTGGTTGTGGGGGGGGGGATGATTTTGTCATTTGGGAATTGTAATTGCTGGGATTGATAGTTCCCCTACAATCAGAGAGCATTCTGAATTCCACCAGGGATAGAATCGAACCAAACTTGGAACACAGAACTCCCATAACCAACGGAAAATACTGGAAGGGTTTGGTGAGCATTGACCTTGAGTTTTGGAGTTGTAGTTCACCTACATCAAAAAGCACTGTGGATTCAAACTATGATGGATCTGGACCAAATGTTGCACGAATACTTAATATGCCCAAATGTGAACACTGGTGGAGTTTGGGAGAAACAGACCTTGACATTTGGGAATTGTAGTTTCTGGGACTTGTAGTTTTCTGAACCTCACCAATGATAGAATTGGGCCAAACTTCCCACACAGAACCCCCATGATCAACAGAAAATACTGTGTTTTCTGATGGTCTTTGGCGACCCCTCTGACACCCCCTCACAACCCCCCGAAGGGTCCCGACTCCTAGGTGTTCCATGGACCACCACTGGTCCTTGTTGTTGCCCTAAAGTGATAAAAGAACAAAAACACACAGACCAATATTATCTCTTCCATAGGAGGCTTTTCTTTGTAGTAAAATAATATAGTTGCAATATATACAAGAACAAGGTTTCCATAACATAAAGTTCTTTATACTTCCTTCTTTGCTTCCATGCTGGGCTTCTTTTTCATGCTTCACTCTCACAGAACCTCCTCTTTACATCAAAGTTACACAGGAGCTTCAGACTTAGCTTTACACACAGCAGCCTTCACACTGGAGCTTGACACACGATAGTCTTCAATCTGGGGCTTCTCTCACTGAAGCTTCTCACACCACGCCTTCTCAAACTGAGACCTGCTAACACACCGAGGCCTTCTCACACTGAGACCTGTCACAGAGTGAGGTCTTCTAATACTGAGAGCTCCCTCAGACTGATGGCTACTAAGCTACAGGCACACCTGCTTATACTGAACTGCAGCTTTCGCTGAGTTATTGCATCCATTTAACCCTTTCAGTACTTGACTTACATTTTTGTAATTAAAAATACCTAGTTAATTTTTAATATTTCTGACAGATACCACTTTAAGCGGCATGGGTCAGTGCTATAGAGTTCTGGTGGTTGCAGCTTTACAAGGTCTTCTGCCTTCTCTGCCAAACTACACCAAACAACAATTCTCAGATTGCAGAGCATTGGGCCATGGCAGTCAAAATAGTCAGACTGCATTCATTCTACAGTGTAGATGCACCTCTAGCCTGTTCAAGCTGATATACGTCAACTGGCCTATTTTGATGAGGGTTTCTGTTTGTTTGTTTTGCACTTACCAGCTTGAACCCTGGCTTTCTCTTGTGGTTTCAGGTATCTTGAAGATCGACAATCTTTCCCAGTTCATAAACCTGACAAAATTGCAGCTAGACAACAATATGATCGAGAAGATAGAAGGATTGGATAGTCTGATCCACCTAGTCTGGCTAGGTAAGTTATTTTGCCATAAAGATATTTTGTTCATTCGTTCAGTCGTCTCTGACTCTTCGTGACCTCATGGACCAGCCCACGCCAGAGCTCCCTGTTGGCCGTTACCACCCCCAGCTCCTTCAAGGTCAGTCCAGTCACTTCAAGGATGCCATCCATCCATCCATCAAAAAACATCGTACTGTTTCAGGACAAATTGGCTGATGATTAGGAAAGCAACTCTGAGAGATAACCATCCATCCTCTGTTTAAAGCAATGGTTCCCAATCTGTGGTCCATTTGCCACCAGTGGTCCGCAAGAACTAAAGTATGGTCCACAGCCTCAGAGTTACTACATTGGTACTGGTCTCGCAAAACTCTCTTATAGTGCTGAGGTTTATTGAATTTGGTTTTCTGTGGGTGAGCAGATGGCAACTACAGGATGGCCTATGTTCTGTATCAGAAACTAGAGTTGATGTGTTCTATCCAATGCAATTTTCTGAACCCCAAATAACCAAACCAAATCTAAAGTTGACCAAAAACTGATTCATAACCTTTTTGGTGCTAATGTTGGAAAGTGGTCCCTGGTCAATTGATCCCTAGTCATTGTCAAGTGGTCCCTATTCAAAGTCAAAAAAAGGTTGGGAATCACTGTTTTACTCCAGGAACTCTTCTGGATGTCTTGATGTCCTCATTTTTAGATCTCTCCTTTAACAACATTGAAATGATCGAAGGCTTGGATGCACTGGTGAAACTGCAGGATCTTAGTTTGTACAGCAACAGGATTTCCACAATCGAGAACCTGGACACGCTCCAAGAACTTCAAGTCTTCTCCATAGGAAACAACAATATAGATGTTTTGGAAAATGTAAGGATTTCATTAATAAAGCAAGTTAAGCATCTGTGACGACTGTTAGCATTGCTGTGAATCCAATGCAATTGTATTTTGTATTCATTTTTTTCAATAAGATAAAAATAACGATTGAGATTTCTCTCCATCTCCTGTTTAACAGATTATTTATCTCCGGAAGTTCAAAAACCTGCGCACATTGAACCTCGCTAAGAATCCAGTCTGTGACAATGAACTCTATGCCATGTTTATTGCTGCTTACCTCCCAGATCTTGTCTACCTGGATTTTCGGCTGGTGGACGAGAACACGGTAAGATCATTAAAACACAGTCTTGGGATTTAATTATTTAAGTTTCCCTCTATATCCATAAAGTCTTCAAATGTGCAACAATAAAATAATATTCTCGTTTTATTTTAAACATACATGACTCTACTTTTCTGTTCATGACTACCATATGGAATTATGCCCAATAATGCTTTGCCAAAAACAGGCAAAGATTGGCTAAGGTGGTGCCAGAACAATCCTTCTACTGGGTTGTTGTAGGTTTTTTTGGGCTATATGGCCATGTTCTAGAGGCATTTTCTCCTGACGTTTCGCCTGCATCTATGGCAAGTATCCGCAGAGGTAGTGAGGTCTGTTGGAACTAGGAAAATTGGGTTTATATATCTGTGGAATGACCAGGGTGGGGCAAAGAACTCTTGTCTGTTAATTTCCAATTTTAACTTTACATTTGGCCTTCCCACAGTTTTAATTGTGTATTGTCTTAGTGTTAATTGTTGCATATTTTATTGTCTATGTTTTTATTTTAATTGCTTGTATTGTTGTTATTATTGCTTGTATTGTTGTATTTGGGCTTGGCTTCATGTAAGCCGCACCGAGTCCCTTGGGGAGATGGTAGCAGGGTACAAATAAAGTGTTATTATTATTGTTATTATTATCTGTTGGAGCTAGGTGTGAATGTTTCAACTGACCACCTTGATTAGCATTTGATGGCCTGGCAGTGCCTGGGGCAATCTTTTGTTGAGAGGTGATTAGATGTGCCTGATTGTTTCCCCTCTGTTGTTTTGCTGTTGCAATTTTAGAGGTTTTTTTTAATACTGGTAGCCAGATTTTGTTCGTTTTCATGGTATCCTCCTTTCTGTTGAAATTGTCCACATGCTTGTGGATTTCAATGGCTTCTCTGTGACGTCTGACATGGTGGTTGTGAGAGTGGTCCAGCATTTCTGTCTTCTCAAATAATATGCTGTGTCCAGGTTGGTTCATCTTTCTACTTGTCCTGTTGGGTGATTTATAAAATCATAGAGTTGGAGGAGATCCCAAAGGTTGTCCAGTCCAACCCCCTTCTGCTAGGCAGGAACACACAATCAAAGCACTCCCAACAGATGGCCATCCAGTCTCTGCTTAATAAGTTGAAGTCAAGAGTGAGAATCACCCCAAACTTTCTTGGACTGCAAGAAAGACTAGGAGTCTAACCCCCATCATATAGGAACACACAGTCAAAGCACTCACAACAGATGGCCATCCAGTCTCTGTTTTTTAAAATGAATTGAAGAGTGATAGGTCAAGCATTGACTATGCCAGTGAAGGCTTGTGGGAGTTGCTGCCAAACAGCAGCTTCATTGACACAAGATTCCCTCCCCATCCGTGTAAAAAATCCAGTTCTTGGATTAAATTCCATTTTACATCATCTCTTGAGGGATGTGTTCCTGTGGAGGATGGAGCCAAAGCCAAAAAAAGGATAGAGCCCTAAACATCACCATGTTGTGAGTTTACAATTAGGATCTAGCCCTTCAGGGGACCCATTTCAGCCTTGCAAACTGAGGAGGGAGATTCAAAAATGGAGAAATCCGGTAGATATGGCTGTTTGGAGAACCTCTGAAGATCTGACTGGAATGGTGGGAAGCTCAAGGTCCTCAAACTATGTGTTTGTGTCGCCATTCCCCAGCGCGACATGGCCTCCGTCAAATACCAGTATGCCATCGAGGAGATGAAGCATGGGGAATACGTGGCTTTGAACAAGCAGCAGATCGAGGAAGCCGCCGAGAAAGAGTTGTCCTACCACAAGGTAAGTTCTCATTTGTTGTGCCATGGAGATGTGCAGTGTGGAAATGTTTTTTGGGTTTTTTTTGGATTATGGCTCCCAGAATCCCTCAACTGGACTTCCATGGAGCTTTCCACATTCCACTAGGTTTGAGGTTTACTAGATATTTTAGGTTTCTTTGTGCTTTGGAAACGGCCGCTGTTTCTTTTGGGGCAATATATATTCCTTTCTTGCAATAACTAATTTGTATTTCTTGCCTGGGACCTCATCCTTTCTGAGCATCTCCTTGGAGAAGTATAAAACCAGGAATAACATCTCTCCCCTCCTCTTGTTAAATAACTTTCTTCTTCTTTCCTTCTTTCTTCTTTAAGTCTGCCTATGTGGAGCGTCTGAATGGACCCTTCCTGTTCGACAGCATGTACGCAGAAGATCCTGAAGCAAGCAAGCTGGTGTACCTCCCGGGAGTACCAGAACTCCTGGAAACATATCCTTCTCTATTTGAGACAGATAAATCTTTGGGAGTGGGTTCATTTCTGAATCTGTTTTTCCATTCTACCTGGAGTTCCACACCTTTGAATCCAGGGACTTGAAGCTATGCATTTGGGAGGCATCCCCTTCTCAAACCATTAAGTGCAACTTTACTTTAGCTATATGAGACAAGCAAGAAGACATTTAATATATTAGCTTTTTGACAGTGGGGCAGACTGTCTCAGGGGTTAGTGGGCTCTCCTTCTTTGGAGGTCTCCATTCACATCTTGGATAGACTGGGTTGTTGTAGGTTTTTTTGGGCTATAAGGCCATGTTCTAGAGGTATTTTCTCCTGACGTTTCGCCTGCATCTATGGCAAGCATCCTCAGAGGTAGTGAGGTCTGTTGGAACTAGGAAAAAGCGTTTATATATCTGTGGAATGATCATGGTGGGACAAAGGACTCTTGTCTGTTGGAGCTAGGTGTGAATGTTTCAACTGACCACCTTGATTAGCATTTGATGGCCTGGCAGTGCCTGGGGCAATCTTTTGTTGAGAGTTGATTAGATGTGCCTGATTGTTTCCTATCTGTTGTTTTGCTGTTGTAATCAATCACCAAGAAGGCCCTGTCTCTCGTCTCCACCAATCGTACTTATGACGATGGCAGGACGGAAAGCAGGGCCTCCCCGGAGGATCTTAATCTCCGTGATGGTTCATAGGGGGAGATGCATTCGGACAGGTAATCTGGGCTGGGGCCGTTTAGGGCTTTATAGGCCAAAGCCAGCACTTTGAATTGTGCCCGGTAGCAAACTGGCAGCCAGTGGAGCTGGCGTAACATGGGAGTTGTATGCTCCCTGTATGCCGCCCCAGTTATTAACCTGGTTGCCTCTCGTTGGACTATTTGAAGCTTCCGAGCAGTCTTCAAAGGCAACCCTACGTAGAGTGCGTTGCAGTAGTCTATTCTAGATGTAACGAGAGCGTGGACCACCATGGCCAAGTCTGACTTTCCAAGGTACTATATATATCATATATCTACTATACATACACAAACACACATATATGAAAGCAGGTGCTTGGAGCTGTTGAGTGAGATCCCTTTCTCTTTCTCTCCCTCTTTGCTCTGTTATTGTCCCCTTGACTCCAGTTTCACCTACAAGACCAAGTTTGTGGAGGTTTGCGAGGCTCTCTTCGACTACGGCCTGAAGCAGCACGAGAAGCGAGAAGCCGAAGTCGCGCTCTTCTACGAGTGCCTCAATGAAGCCTTGTTGGAAAACCAAATGGAGGGGACCAAAATCATCCGCGACTTTGAAGAGAAGAATCGTGGGGTAGGCAGAGGGCCATTGGTTTTACTCCATGTATATCCTTGGAGAAGAGGCAGTTAGAGCCAAGTAGCAGATGAAAGACATGTCTTCAGTGGGATAGGAGCCTCTGATTTTTCCCTCTCACAACTTGTGCATCCAGACTCTCGACTTGATTCAGAACGCCAGCGACCCGGAGATCACGGAGCTCAAACTGGCAGACTACAACGAAGAGATCTCCAAGCTCTACGATACATTGATGAGCCTGGAGATGCAAATGGTTGACCAGCTAGAAGTAAGTGGAGGTCCATTAGGTGAGCTGGGCCAGTGATTGATTTTCTAGGGATGTTTTAGTGGATATAGAGTTCCCAGGGCGCAGAGGGTTAAATTGCTGGGTTGCTGGGGTTGCTGAACTTGCTGACCGAAAGGTTGGTGGTTCAGATTTAGGGAGCAGGGTGAGCTCCTGCTGTTAGCCCCAGCTTCTGCCAACCTAGCAGTTTGAAAACATGCAAATGTGAGTAGATCAGTAGATGCTGCTCCAGCGGGACATTAACAGCGCTCTATGCAGTCATGCTGGCCACATGACCTTGGAGGTGTCTATGGACAATGCTGGCTCTTCGGGTTAGAAATGGGGGTGAGGACCATCCCCAGTGTTGGACACAACTAGACTTGATGTCAAGGGGAAACCTTTACCTTTATTAGTGAATATAGGTCTACAGTTGGAGAGATGGCTAATTTTTGGCAAACCATTTAGCCATTGCTGGAATTCTTTGCTAAGAATTCAGGATCTGGAGGCGAATCAAATACTTGTGTCTTACATTCTTATGTGAGAACAGATCTTCTGAAGGAGTCCTTAAAATTGTGCAATTTGGGTCTTGTTTAATGCAAAAACAACACGCTGAACAGTGGAAAATATGGAAAGTATTTTCAGCACAGAATTCTGTACACAGAAAGTGCTATTTTAATATTTACCATATACACTTGAGTATAAGCCGACCCGAATATAAGCTGAGGCACCTAATTTTACCATAGAAAACTGGGAAAACATATTGACTCAAGTATAAGCCGAGGGTGAGAAATGAAGCCACTACTGGTAAATTTCAAAATAAAAATAGATACCAAAAAAATTACATTAACTGAGGCATCAGGAGGTGAAATGGTGTTGAATATTTACATAAAATTGTAATTTGAGATAACTGCCCAACTCTGATTAAATCATTATTCTAACCTTCTTCAATGTAAATGTATTTACATGTCCTTCCAACAATAATATAGTAAAATAATGAATGTAATAGTAATAATAATAATAATAATAATAATAATAATAATAAAGTAAAATAATGGAAATGCAATAATAACAGTAATAATAGAGTAAAATAATACATGCAATAATAAAGTATAATAAATGTATTAATCATAATAGGGTAAAATAATGTAAATTTAATAATAATAAAGAAAGTAAAATAATACCTGAAATAAAAATAATACTAATAACAGAATAAAATAATAAATAACCTTGACTCGAGTATAAGCCGAGGGGAGCTTTTTCAGCTGAAAAAAGGGGCTGAAAAACTAGGGTTATACTCGAGTATATACAGTATACTTTGTAAGTTAAAAATAATATTGTATTTAAGTTTTTGAGCTGCATCAGGTCTCAATTAAGAATGAAAGGTAGGATACAAATAAATAGTAATATTTGTTGGTGTTATTCTTCTTCTTGTTGTTGTTTTCTATCCCATAAATGCTACTTTCTGCAGAATAAACTCTCAGAAGAGTGTCTTCTGTCCAGTATTTTTGTCAGCATTTCCTGAGCCTTGGCCTAAACATTTTTCACCATTGATTTGAATATTTTTGAATATTTTTCAGTGTGCTTGAATTCAGAAAATCATGTCTTATATTATAGGGAGATATGGTAAATAGCCTAATCATTGGCCAGACAAACCAGATATTTAGCAGTGACAACATTTAGGAAGAAATTAGCACTGTCTGCTTTGTTTTTAGGCAGATTTCTACAAGTTTTGCCTTTTGTTTTCATCCAAAGTCAGATTTCTCCCATTCCAAATGTCTCCCTTCTCTCAATCAGGAAGTTATAAAAGATTTCGAAAGAAGCATCTTGGACCTGGTGGCTATCTTTATAGAAAATGAACAAGGGCTATATCCTTTTTGCGGCAAACATGGGGATAATAAACCATGGTGGATACTTCACTTTGGTCTGCACCGCACTGGGGGGCAAAGTGAGGTAAACCAGGATTGCGATCATTTTGGGAATCACTTCCAGAGTCTATAAAACTCAGCCTTTCCCCCTCTTTCTGCCAATCTTTGTCCTAAGTGACAAGAAGATTGAGGTTTCTTCCTCTAACCTGGGAGCAGCCAGGAGTGCATCTACACTGGGGAATTAATGCAGTTTCACACCACTAGCTGCCATGTCTCAGTGCTGTGGAATCTTGGGGTTTGTAGTTAAGGCATCAGTAAGTTCACTTTGGTAGAGAAGGCTAAAGACCATGTAAAACTTCAAATCCTCTGTCACTGTTCCCTTGGGGAAAAGGATAAGGAGCCTTTTTTTTTTTTTTTTTTTTTGCCTGAATCCTCATCAGTATGGGAGTGAATTTGTGTACAGGAGGACTTTTTGGTTCTGCCATCATTGGCTGGACCCTTAATGCCTGAACTTCCTATTAAAAAGATCAGTCCCAAATCAGTTTGTTTCTTAACCCTCTCCTCTACGATGGCTCAGTGCCGGGATCTGGAGAACCACCACCATGAGAAGCTGCTAGAAATAGCCATCAACACTCTGGAGAAAGTGGTGAAAAGCGAGTTCGACGAGGAGATGCCCGACGAGGTCCGGATGGTAAGTACTTCTGCCTCTTGATTTGGCACAGTTTTTAAGGTCTTAGCCCCATTACAGGCAAGGCACAGCACAGAGCCTTCTCAGTTGTGGCTCCAAAACTATGGCACTCCCTGGTCAGTAGTAACTCAAACACTGGCTTTATTGCCTCTATTTGAACTCCATCTCCCTTCCTTCCATAGCTTTTTGTGGATAAAGACACCATTGTCAATGCCGTCAACGCCTCTCACGATATCCACCTTCTCAAGATTGACAACCGGGAGGACGAGATCGTGACCAAAGCCAATGGCTGGGCTTCTGTCCTGATAGAAAGGGTAAGTGGACAACTCTCTGGCACTAGGCTAGTGAACGAGAGCAATTCCAATTCATGGATATCAGGCCGCATGACAAATGAGAAAATTAGCCTCCAGCCAGGTGGCCATAAGAGTTTCAAAAACTAGCTTGAGTTTGTTGGGGAATTCCAAGAAGGCAAAAGCATTTAAAAATGTAAAGCAGCAACAACAGCAGCAGCAGTTTAGCAGATCAGAAGCTCCTTGAGTGTAGCAGTAGAGCAAGTGAGCCTCAGCAGTTGCAGAAGCACATTCAAACCTTAAAAGTTGCAAAAGATCCTATTGAAAGAATTACATTTCAATATAGGGAAGTTAGTGCCTAGCTATCTATCTCTTACTCTCTCTCGAGCCAGGCATTGTCCCCCATTCTGTATCTTTGCATTTCAGAATGGGGGACAATGCCTGGCTCGAGAGCAGTACATGTGAAAAAGATCTTGGAGTCCTCGTGGACAACAAGTTAAACATGACCCAACAATGTAATGTGGCAGCAAAAAAAGCCAATGGGATTTTGGCCTGCATCAATAGGAGCATAGTGTCCAGATCTAGGGAAGTCATGGTACCCCTCTATTCTGTATCAGTATAACAAAAAAGAGAGAAAGAGAGAATAGAGAGAGAGGCAAACAAAGAGGGCAATGGGGGAAGAGCTTTGCCAGCCAGCTGACAACAATATTTTTATTATTGTCCAAAGACCTTTATTGCTCCGTAAGTGTAAAAAATATGCAAGGTTAATAAGATAAACAACAGCTGACTGAATTAACACACAGTTAGATTAAATTAGCAACAGTTAAAACTGGATAAAATAAGGGATTAAAATAGATTGAAGCCATACAAGATGGCTATGAGCATAGGTAAAAGACTACAAAAAGTACAAGGCATGTTTCAGCCTGTGTCTAAAATAGAGAATTGTCTGATCCTGGCTGCCTCGGAAAGAAACGTGGCAACAGCCAGGGTGACATGGGGATGATCATCACCAAGTGAAAACTTTACAGAAAATTTCACTAGACTGGCCAGTAGGAGATTAATTCTATGTGCTCAAGCTTGTTCATAAAAACTGCATGACAGTAGAATATGGTAGATGCATTCCACTTCCTGTTTGTTACATGGGAAGAGTCTTTCATTATATGGGATACCTGCAAATCTCCCACACAGCAGTTCAGACGGGAACACATTACACCTTGCTTTGGAAATAGGCAGCAGTATTTGGCCACAGTCAAGTTCTCTAGATAATTTGCTGCATGGGAAGGCCCAACATAATGTATGGACAGGGCACTTGGGGAGCAAGATACATATGAACGAGAGTGCAGCTCACAAAAAGCAATATCCCACTGTCTCTGTTTGATTGCTTTGAGAGCCATGTCAAAACCCAGGTGGATTAGGAAGGATATGGAAAGGCCGATGGAGGAGGCTTTCTTAGAATTGATCTTAAACCAGCTGCTTATGTGCTCATCCTGAGCTAAGTGGTGAATTAGACCAGATCCTAGACTGAAAACTCTGATCTTGAGCCAATAATTAAGTGCCCACCACCGGGCTCTAATTGACAAAGGTGGTTCGCCAGATTCAAGTAATAATAATAATAATAATAATAATAATAATAATAATATAATAATAATCCTTTATTTGTACCCCGCTACCAAATCCCGAAGGACTCGGTGCAGCTTACAGTAGGCCGAGACCCAATACAACAATAAATAAGACAACAACAATACAGCAGTAAATAAAACTCAAGCCATAACATTAATAATAACAACACGATACAGTTAAAACCAAGTGTCAGGGTCAGATGTAATGGTTAAAATGTAAAAAGGCTGGGCATGACTGGGTGAAATGGATAGATATTTTGGAGATAGATAGGGCGTGCAGACAGTCCTAGATCTCTAGTAAAGTGCATTTGGGACAAAGTGCTTGGAGTTTCCTATTCTGGGAAGGCACACTGAAACAGCCACGTTTTCAAGCTCCTCCTAAGACTGCCAACGTCGGGGCATGCCTGATATCCTTTGGGAATGAGTTCCAGAGTCGAGGAGCCACCACAGAGAAGGCCCTGTCCCTTGTCCCCACCAATTGCGCTTGCGATGCAGGTGGGATCGCGAGCAGGGTCTCTCCGGAAGATCGAAGAGATTGTGTGGGTTCGTATACTGAAATGCGGTCACGCAGGTAGGCGGGTCCCAAACCATTTAGGGCTTTGTAGGTAAGCACCTGCACCTTGTATTGGGACCGGAAAATGAACGGCAGCCAAGTAGCAAGACACAGGATGGTACACATCTGAGGAAATGAAAGAGGGCCCTCAAAAACTGTGTTTGCTATTGATATAATGTTGATGTTAAACCACAAATCCAGATAGCCATCTAACACAGCTCTCTGGCAATTTAATTGATGAGGACTATAAACTTGTGCAGGATGTGGTAGAGTTCCAACAGAGTGAGCCAATGCTGAAGTCTGGCACGGACCTCCACTGTTGATTTCAATCCCGGCAGGTTCACAATGACGAAATCAACAGGAACCGAAGCCGCGTCATGGAGATCAACCAATACATCGACCATCTTCGGGGCGAGCTGGACAACTGGGACATTCTGGAGCAATAGTTGACTTATGGTGCAGAACCCTCTCGATCCGATGTCTAGATCCTGGCCTTAGCTCAAGCAGATTCCTGGCCCAGGAATATACTTGAATGTCTCCTTCTCACTGAAAACATCTATGTAAATCTACCCCAGAAGGCAGTCCTTCCCTCTTCCTCCTGATGAGTAAAATAAAAAGGATTTTTCAGACATTTTTTTTAAAGGAGACTAACATAAGATCAAATCAGTGCTGTGTGCTTACAAACCATTGGACCTTCAGGACCTTGGTCCTCTCTTTCTTCAAGTTTTATCCCATGCAAGGACAATACAGATAAACATTTTAAAACAAAATTGTTTGGTCTTGCTGTGTCCCAGATAAGAGGAAATGAAACTAAAGCTGGGAAAGGCATTGCACTTGAGTTCCATTGAACTTTCTGAAAGCAAACCTCAGCTCATAGATATTTCATGGGTGGATAAAACCTATTATCTAAATCTTGAAGTTTACAATTTTTTTCTCAACAGGCTCTTGTAGCATTTTGGACTGCTTTGCATTCACTGCTATAGTCTGATCAGTATAACCCGCCATCTATGCATTACAGGAGAAGACGGAGAAATCGAATACCAAAAGCCCCAGAATTTTACCAACAATTGTTAAATGGAGTTGTGACTGACTTATCACGCCTTCGCCCACTGGTCCATCTAGCCTTGCCTAAAGTATTAAAAGATATGTTGTCGAAGGCTTTCATGGCCTGAATCACTGGGTTGTTGTGTGTTTTCCAGTCTGTGTGGCCATGTTCCAGAAGCATTCTTTCCTGATGTTTCGCCTGCATCTATGGCAGGCATCTTCAGACGTTGTGAGGTTAAAAGGTATGGTTTCAGTTGCTAGGGATTGAAGGGAGCTCAGAAACACGACCTTTTGGAGCCTGTAATGTCTTAGAAAGACAATAAGACTCTAAATAAATATTTATTTATTTATCATGTCAGAAGCGAATTGAGGATACAGTTGTATTATTTATTTATTTATTTATTTATTTATTTACAGCTTTTATATTCCGCCCTTCTCACCCCGCAGGGGACTCAGGGTGGATTGCAGTGTACACATATATGGCAAACATTCAATGCCAATTTTTGACATACAGACATATACAGACATACACAGAGGCTATTTAACTTTTCTGGCTGCCGGGGAGCTGTCACTTTCCTTGTCCATCTGCGATGCTGATGAAGCACTTCCGCATTCCCCGCATGCTTCCCCACTTGAATGCTTTGCTGGAGTCTTCTTTATGGCCTCATAAATCAGTTAATTTAGCCTCCCCATCCTTTAAGGTGGTATCTTATTTTCCTACTTGACAGATGCAACTGTCTTTCGGGTTGCAAAGGTCGACAACAGGTTAAACACAATTGGTTGGAAACCCACTCCAACCCGGGCTGGCTTCGAACTCATGACCTTTTGGTCAGAGCGATCTTAATGCAGCTGACACTCAGCCAGAGTGGTTTTTTTTTTTCCAGACACAGAATTTAGTTTCCTTCTTGGCGAGGACTTGGAGGGTAAGCATTTCCTGCTTTTACTCTCCCTGAATGCTGAATGCCTGTTTCCAATTCTTCCCCTGAAAGTAGATCTTGCTATTTACTTGGTGAAGGTGTCAGTCTTCACTTCAGTTTTTCATTTTCATACAAATAATCTCTAGGCTTTTTTATTCTCCCATGTTGGAGATTAAGATAACCCTGTAGGCACCAGATTTAATCTGGGACATCAAGAAGGGTCAGGCCCAGTGATTACTGCGATGGGAGACCACCTGATGCTCCAATCATTGCTTCTTAAATTGTGGATCCCAATTCTAATTGAAGGAAGGAAGGGAAGAAGGAAGGGAAGAGAGAAGGAAGGAAGGACAAAAGGGAGAGGAAAGGAAGGATGGAAGGAGAAATAGGGAAGGAAGGATAAAAGCGTGGAAGGGAAAGATGGAAGGAGAAAGAGGGAGGGAGGGAAGGAGGGAGGGAGGAAAGGGTGGAAGGGAAGGATGGAAGGAGAAAGGGAGTGAGGGAAGGAGGGAGGAAAGGGGGAAGGAAGGAAGGAAGGAAGGAAAGGGTGGAAGGGAAAGATGGAAGGAGAAAGAGGGAGTGAGGGAAGGAGGGAGGAAAGGGGGAAGGAAGGAAGGAAGGAAGGAAAGGGTGGAAGGGAAGGATGGAAGAAGAAAGGGAGCGAGGGAAGGAGAGAGGAAAAAAGGGAAGGAAGAAAAGATAAAAGAGAAGGAAGGGTGAAAGGGTGGAAGGGAAGGATGGAAGGAGAAAGAGGGAAGGAGGGAGGAAAAAGCAAAGGAAGGAAAGACAAAAGGGAAAGAAGGAAGGAAAGATGAAAGGGAGGAAGGAAAGGATGGAAGGAGAAAGGTCGTAAGGGAAGGAGGGAGGGAAGAGGGAAGGAAGGAAGGGTGGAAGGGAAAGATGGAAGGAAGGAAGGGAATGATGAAGGAAGGAAGGATAAAGGAAAGAGAGAAGGAAGGAAAGACAAAGGGGAAGGAAGGAGAAAGAGGGAAGAAAGAGGAAAGGAAGGATGAAAGACTGGAAGGGAAGGATGGAAGGAGAAAGAGGGAAGGAAGGGAAGGAGGTAAGGAAGAAGGAAAGAGAGGAGCAACCCACAGTTTCTAGAGTCCCTTTAGCTCAGTGTTGGAGTATCCAAAATTTAGCAAAATAAAGGTTGCCTGAATGTCATCTAATGGCTGTTTTAGCCATTGACACAAATGTGTTGTGTAGCGTTTACACTGCACTCTATAGAAGATGCTTGAGTCGTGCTTCATAAAAAGGGAAATCAGCCTGCTTTGCAGATGCTGAATTGTTATGAATATATGTTTGATTGAGATAGATAGACAGACAGAGATATATGTAGATATAGTATACGTTTTTCAGGCCAAATGGAGTCCCGGACAGAAAAGTTTAAGAAGTCCTGCTCTAGGCTGTGTTTCAGAGGAAGGAACTGGCAAAACCACCTCTGAGGATTCTTTTCCTAAAAAAACTATGGAATTTGTGACGTTGCCTTAAGTCAACAGAATATGGGAGATTTCAGCAGATAATGCGATCTGAGTAGGGTCACTTTTATATTTTTGTCATTGTGCTGTTGTGATCCTAGAATTCTTCTAAAAATACCTCAAAACCCATGGGAGCCACAGAGGTTTGATTTTCCCAGAGGAACTGTATCTGTTTGTAGGGCTTGATCATTTCTAACTTTTCCTTTCTCTTTGTTCTGCAATGTTGTCCTTGCCTCCGCCTCCTCATTCCCATTATCTACAATACTGAAAGTAGAATGGCGGCTGCATTGTTTGAAGACGACTATTTGGTAAGCAGAAAAAATAGTTTGGAAACATGTTTCTCCTACCTGAAATTCTAAGTTTTCTCTGTCTCCCTTGTTTTGTCTTTGCTTCCGCTGTCTGTTCCCTTCTCTTCACCCCAGGCATGTAGCGGGGGGGGGGGGGGGGGGCCTCGGGGGGCTTCAGCCCCCCCCCCCCCGAAATTCTCATGGTGGTTCGCGAAAAGGCCTTACTGGTGCATTATTTAAACTGTTATGTTTATTCATATCATGATCTGATCACCATACTCAATATATCCCATATGCATGGGGGTATTGGGGTAATGATACAAAAGGTTTGCTAGGCTAGAACCTCTTTCACTCAGACTCAGCCCCCCCGAAACTCAGCCCCCCCCCCCCGAAACCCCCCCCCCCGAAATGAAATCTTGGCTACGGGTCTGCTTCACCCCCATTGTCTACAATACTGAAAAAGACTGCAAGGATTGGAGATAAGACTATATGAGTCAGAAACATCTGGTGAGCAGAAAGGTTGTTTGGAGAGTGCAATTCTAGGGTTTCTTTCCCTTCTCTACCTTCCTTTCTGTCACTTGTTTGTGTACAGTCCTTCCCGGCTTTCTCCTATGAATTAAATCAATATAGAATCCCAGAGTTGGAAAAGACTCCAGAGATGATCACCCTAGCTCTAGCATACAAGAAGTCACCATCCAAGCACTCCCAACAGATTTATTTTATTTTGTCGTGTCAGGGCAACCAGTCAATTATATTACATTTCTAACAGAACAAAGCAAACAAACAGACAAAATACAAAATTTGTGAGTTTGGTAGTTGATTAAATGTCCTTTGACCAGTATCTGGCCACTTGGAGTGCTTCTGGTGTTGCTGCAAGAAGGTCTTCCATTGTGCATGTGGCAGGGCTCAGGTTGCATTGCAGCAGGTGGTCAGTGGTTTGCTCCTCTCCACATTTGCATGTCGAGGATTCCCGACAGATAGCCATCCAGCCTCTATTTAAAAGTTCAAAAAGAAGTGGATTCCACCAGCAAATATTGTTGGGCGAGTGGGCTTATTAACAAAACACCCTCCTGCAGAAGAACTCATTAGCACCAGTAGCCCAAAGTGATAAAAAGAATCAAAAACACACTGTAGGAATTCAGCCTGTAATTGTCTCTTTGCCACAGGTTTCAAAAGAGGATGATCACAATCAGGATCCTTCAGAGGTTCCCATGTCTGACTTTAATGACCAGGTTTCTGTTGATTCCCAGGGTTTGTGAATGCAGATGGTGGCCTAGAAAATGCAGTTAGCCAAAATGAAACTGAGGATTTTGGGATTGTTGGTTCCCAAGGTACTCCCGTAAGATCTGGGAGGCCTGATGGACAGTGCACAATAACTGAAGTTATAATTGACAGTGCAAAATAACTCCCCCTCCCTTGCACACCACACTTCCCGCTGACTCCTCCTCACGCACCTGGCTCCCTCTCCCCCCTCCTCTTCCTCCTTCTCTTTCTCCCCCCTCCCCCTCACAGCTCCCCCCACCCCGCCTCCCGGTCAGTGTGGTGGCTGTGCTGGGAAACATGGCATTGGAAGGGATGATTTTAACCAACCACAACCACCAAATCCGTGTGGGGGTCCTCACAGGTAACGAGCGATACTCAGGGCTGAGAGGGTGCATGGAAGATACAGGAGAGAAGGAAAGGAGATTGCGGGGGGAGAATATTTAAAATATTTTCAATAAATATTTTAAATTCATATTTATTGAAAAACCGCGAAACAGTGAGTCTGTGAAAAGCAAACTGCGAAGTAGCAAGGGAACACTGTATTCCTAAATGTAATTGTTCCTATTCCAACATTTGTTCATTTTTTGGTGCTGGTCATCAACTGATATGTGTGTGTGTGTGTGTGTGTGTATGGGAAAATGTGTCTTAGAATTGAAGAAATACAGCAGCAATAATACTATTCTATTTACTTGACTAATGCTCACCTTTTTTGGCTAAATGACCTTCCCAAAATTAGGATGTGCATTAGATCCATATCATACGGTGATCTTAATGCTGAGCCCAAGCAAAAGGGGAAGCTACTTCGGGAGCTCCTCTTTGAGGGACCTCATCTCTATTTTAATGGCCTCGGCTCAATGCTATGCAATTTGTCGTTTGGTAAGACATCAGCATGCTTTGGCAGAAAAGCCCAAGGCCTTGTAAAATGACTTGATTTGATAGCATTGAGTCAGAGCACTTATATTGCATTCAATCTACAGTATAAGAGGCATCCAAGAGTTTTCTTTTCCATTGCTGGAAGCTTTGGTGTCCTAACACTTTGGTTTTTGAAGAAGGAATTATAAGCAGGCAGCAACTGCAATGGCCAAATGACAAAGGGGACACTGCATGTTACATTCCTCCAGGCATTGAAGACCTCTCCAAGATGTTGAACTCCATGCTGTTTTGGATGGAGAAGGTTCAGCACCTTGGACAGCTTTTAGAAAGTTCAAACCAGGGGTCCTCAAACTAAGGCCCGAGGGCTGGATATGGCCCTCCAAGGTCATTTACCCAGCCCTCACTCAGAGTCAACCTAAGTCTGAAACAACTTGAAAGCACACAACAACAACAACAACAACAATCCTATCTCATCAGCCGGAAGCAGGTCTACAATTCCCATTGAAATGCTAATAAGTTTATATTTGTTAAAATAGTTCTTCGTTTTAATTATTGTTTTGTTTTCAAGTGGGTTTTTTTGCACTAAAAATGAGATATGTTCAGTGTGCATAGGAATTCATACATGCTTTTCTCAAATTATAATCCAGCCCTCCAACAGTTTGAGGGACTGTGACCTGGCCCCCTGTTTAAAAAGTTTGAGGACCCCTGGTTCAAACTAAAACCCAGAACTGATCCCATGCTGACACTGGAACCACTCATTGCTTCTGGACTTTGTTTTGCTTGAATGTGACTTTGTTGGATCTTGCAGGAGGAAGAGAAAGTAGCAGACCGTGGAGACCTGGTTGAGTTTGATCGTGGCTTGTACAAGCATTATGGGGTGGCCGTGGACAGCAAACATGTGGTCCACCTCACAAGTAAGTATTTCTCTACACTGAGTAGATGAAGGAGGACTGAATGAAAGGGGAAGCTCATCCAGTGGAAAAGTAGAAATAATACAGAAAAAGCCAAATTGGTAATACACATCTCTAAAACTGAGAAGCTTTCTTACATCCTGTTATGTCTTCTTTCTTGAGGTGCAGACCCAGGGTCTTCTAGGTGCAAATTTTCATGCGCTGGCCCAAAGGCAGAGGTGAAAAAAGAACGCATTTCCCAAGTGGCATGGGGAAATAGGTATAGTGTCCTCAAGAAACGTGAGCAGGAGGAGGCCTGTAGAAATTCGAATTCGATCATCTGTGATGCCGAAGACATGGTGGGGATGAAAATGAGCTACAACTTGTTGGAGAAGAACTGCGAGCATTTTGCCAGAAATCTGGTCTTTGGCGTTCCAAAGTGTAAACAGGTGCATAGACCTCTTGTTTCTGTCTTGGAGCCGTGAGATTTTCAAAGCAGATAATCCACATTGTCTGCCTTGAACTGGATTATAGGAATGTACACTGCTATATAATTCAGTTCAAAGTAGATAATCTGGATTTTATATGGCAGTGTAGAAGGGGCCTTGGTAGACCACAAGATGAACATGAGCCAACAGTATGATGCAGCAGCTAAAAAGGCCAATGTGATTCTAGTTGCATCAATAGAAATCTAGTGTCGAGATGGAGGGAAGATAATCCATGGGGAAGGGATCTAGGAATCACAAGCTGAACAGTGTGATGCAGCAGTTTTAAAACTCAGTATGATTCTAGGCAGCATCAGTAGGAGTATAGGGTCGAGATCGAGAGAGTTCGTAGTCCCGCTGTCACTGTCAAGTATTTCGTTATGGAATCACCAACAGAGTAGTCTTACAGCTAAAGGTCAAGTCAATTAGTTCACCGTAACAACATAATTCAAGGGAACAAGCAGAAGAGGAGCCAAATAAGAGTCCTAGGTCAGAATTCCAAACCATAAAGTTGTGTCCACAAATCCAAAGGCACGAAACAGTTCCAATTTCCAAAAGTGTCCACGAGTCTCAAGAACATTAGGCCCAGCCTTGGTTACGAAAGTTGCAGCCAGCAATTAAGCAACACGCTGCAAACCCTTAAATGTAGAAAAAGAGATTCCAGCTAAATATTAGGAAGAACTTCCTAACAGTGGAATAGTCTGGGATGTTGTAGGTTTTTTCGGGCTATATGGCCATGTTCTAGAAGCATTTTCTCCTGACGTTTCGCCTGCATCTATGGCAAGCATCCTCAGGGGTAGTGAGGTCAGTTAGAACTAGGAAGAAGGGGTTTATATATCTGTGGAATGACCAGGGTGAGACAAAGGACTCTTGTCTGCTGGAGCTAGGTGTGAATGTTTCAACTGACCACCTTGATTAGCATTTGATGTCCTGGTCGTGCCTGAGGCAATCTTTTGTTGAGAAGTGATTAGATTTCCCTGATTGTTTCCTCTCTGTTGTTGTGCTGTTCTAATTTTAGAGTTTTTTAATATTGGTAGCCAGATTTTGTTCATTTTGGAATTAATAGTCTGCCTTGAAGTCCAGTGGAGTCTCCTTCTTTGAAGGATTTTAAGCAGAGGCTGGATGGTTGTCTGCCAGAAGGGCTTGGATTGTGTTTCCTTGCCTGGCAGAAGGGAGCAATTGTATGTCCTGTACTTCTCATCCTGGAGTATCACCCTTGGGGAGCTCTCCCCAAATTAGAAAGCAAAGCCACATCTTACAACAAGAGTTCAAAATGGCGGTGACCCACAGCTAACTTGGCTCTCTTTTTCTCTGCACAGGTCGCACAGGCCGCTGATAAGGCAAAAATCGCAAGTTTTTTTGGAATAATGTTTGTGGCTGCCCTTGCCATATTCAGGATTGTTAGAGGTTGACAGAATCCGCATTAACAACTCTTGTATCAAAGGAGGAAGTTCAGAGGTCTACCGGTGTCCTCCTGTGCAACCCAGGCGTGAATCCTGTGTCTGTTTCCAGAGCTTACGCTTCCTATTTTTAAAACTCAAGAGAGATGTTAAATGAATTAAAAGTGCCAAAGACATGATAAACAATGGTCTGGGTTTCTCCTCTTTTATTGATTTAGCATTCATTTTTCTGCAATCCCACTAAATTGGGGCCAACACCATCGAAGCAGAGGGTTCTTCCATTTGGTAGCTAGTATTCCCCATAAACTGAGCAAAGGAAAACAAAAGACCCATCACCATTAGTCAATGGAGTTAGATTCTCATCCATACTGCCACATCTTCCAGAAGTCCTTCAAAATGTAATTGTGACCACTGCTCCTCTAGTATTAACTGTAGAAACATGGGTTTGTTCACCTCCTCTTCAGAGAATGTTTAGGAAGAGGCCTTTTGTTGTGTGTCTTGAAGTCACTTCTGAATTATGGCAACTATTTATTTATTTACAGCTTTTCATATTCCGCCCTTCTCACCCCGCAGGGGACTCAGTGCGGATTACAGTGTACACATATATGGCAAATATTCAATGCCAATTTTGACATACAACACATACAGACATAGACAGAGGCTATTTTAACTTTTTCTGGCCGCCAGGGGAGCTGTCGCTTTCATCGCCCATCTGCGACACTGATGAAGTACTTCCGCATTCCCCGCATGCTTTTTGCTGGAGTGCTTGCTGGAGTCTTTTTTTTTTTTTTTGGCCTCATAAATTAGTTAATTTAGCCTCCCCACACTTTAAGGTGGAACTTAATTTTCCTACTTGACAGATGCAACTGTCTTTCGGGTTGCAAAGGTCGACAACAGGCTACACAATTGGTTGGAAACCCACTCCAACCCGGGCTGGCTTCGAACTCATGACCTTTTGGTCAGAGAGATCTTAATGCAGATGACACTCAGCCAGCTGCGCCACAATCCCGGTGCTTGAGGAAGATCTACTGGGTGGTTTTCTTGGCAGGATTTGTTCAGATGAGCTTTTGTGTTCCTCTGAGGCTGAGAGAGTGTGACTTCTTGCCCATGGTCCCTCACTGTTTTTGTGGCTTTGCAGAGAATTGAACCCTGGCCTCTGTGAGTAGTTGTTGTTCATTCATTCAGTCATTTCCAACTCTTCGTGACCTCATGGACCAGCCCAGGCCAGAGCTCCCTGTCGCCCGTCACCACCCCAGCTCCTTCAAGGTCAATTCAGTCACTTCAAGGATGCCATCCATCCATTTTGCACTTGGTCGGCCCCTCTTCCTTTTTCCTTCCTTTTTCCCCAGCATCATTGCCTTCTCTAAGCTTTCCTGTCTTCTCATGATTGGCCAAAGTACTTCAACTTTATCTCTCATATCCTTCCCTCCAGTGAGCAGTCGGGCTTTATTTCCTGAAGTTTGGACTGGATGGATCTTCTGGTGGTCCAAGGCACTCTCAGCACTTTCCTCCAACACCACAGTTCAAAGGCATCTATCTTCCTTCGCTCAGCCTTCCCAATGGTCCAGCTCTCACATCCATAGGTGACTATGGGGAATACCATTGCTTTAACTATGTGGATCTTCTTTGCCAGTGTGATGTCTCTTCACTATTTTGTCGAGATTGGACATTGCTCTCCTCCCAAGAAGGAAGCGTCTCCTGATTTCCTGGCTGCAGTCTGTGCCTGAGAGTAGTAGCCCAGATAAATGTGTTTATTTACAGTACACTTGATAGAAAGGCAGAGCAGTACAGAACAATTGGAAGATTTCACGCTGGTTGCTCATTGGTCCTGGAGCGTGCTGGTAAGGATTCGCAGCCCCATTGTACGAGGCATGGGTGTGATTCTGCCTCTGGGAAAACCAGCAGCAAGGTGGGAAATTGAATAAACTGCTATTCATGAATTTGAAGTTTTGTGTCTGTTGTGAGCCCTTTCCAGAAACTGGGTGCATCTGGGAGGGATGCGGTTTAATGGGTGGTTGATGGTCCAACCAATATTTTATTGATTTTGTTATTTTTATTATATGTTATGTTTTAATTGTATTTATGGTATTACAGGCATTGAATTTTGCCCTGTAAACCACTTTGAGTCGCCTGTGGGCTGAGAAAGGTGATATACAAATACAGTAAATAAATCTATATAAATAAAAATGTAATGTTCGTTTGTAGGATTAACATAACTCAAAAACCACTGGACGAATTGACACAAAATTTGCACACAAAACAACTACCAGGACAACAAGTTTGGTCCTGGTCTATTGTAGGTGATGGTCATAGTGTTTCCAGGTGTAGGTGAACTACAACTCCCACTATGGTGGGTCAGTCCCCTAAATGCCCTCCAGTATATTCAGTTGGCCATGGGGGTTCTGTGTGCCAAGTTTGATTATTTATTTATTTCTCGCACTTCTACCCCGCCCTTCTCAACCCCCGAGGGGGGACTCAGGGCAGCTTACAAAAAGGCACAATTCGATGCCGGCACAACAACAAGGTAAAAAATAAAACATATAAACAGTAATTAAAACAATTAAAACAGTCCATTATACATCACAATCCTTAAAACCATCTAGTGCTCAACGTTTATCAGCTCAGAGTCCGTAAATTCAAATTCCACATTGTCCAATCCGTCAATTCTGGTCGTCGCTTGTCCTTTGTCTATCCGCCAGATTACCCGAAGGCCTGGTCCCAAATCTGTGTTTTTAATTTCCTTCTAAAAGAGAGGAGGGATGTCGATGACCTAATTTCCCCGGGGAGTGAGTTCCACAGGTGAGGGGCCACCACTGAGAAGGCCCCTCACTGGTCAGGGTCACTGTTTCTTTGGTTGTAGGAGAACTACAACTCTCAAAATTCAAGGTCAATCCCTCCCAAACCCCTCAGTAATCAAATTTGGGTGTATCAGGTATGCGTGCCAGGTTTGGTCCAGAGCCATTGACTTTTGGGTTCACAATGCTTTTTGGATGTAGATGAACTATAACTCCCCCAAATGAAGATGAATTTTCCCCAAAGACCTCCAGTATGTTTTGACGGTCATGAGGGTTTTGTGTACCAAGTTTGGTACAATTCCCATTTTGGTGAGGTTCATAGTGTTCTTTGATTGCAGGTGAACTATAAATCCTAGTATCTACAACTCCCCCCAAAACTCACCAGGATTCCAATGTGGGCTTATCAGGTATGTGTGCAAAGTTTGGTCCAGATCCATCATTGTTTGGGTTCACAGCGCTCTCTGGATGCAGATGAATTACAAGTCCTATAAATCTCTCCAAAGACCTCCAGTATTTTCTGTTGGTCATGGGGCTTCTGTGCGCCAAGTTAGTTCTGGGTCCATTGTCGGTGAGATTCAGAGTTGGTGAACTATACATCCCACTACCAACAATTCCTATAAACCAAGATGAATTCCTCCCAAACCTCTCCAATATTTTTTTGATTATCATGGGGGTTTTGTGTGCCAAATGTGGTCCAGGTCCATTGTTGGTGGGAGTCACACGGTCTGTCTGGGTGCAGGGTGAACTACAATATCCATCACGTTGAGTCAGTGCCCCAAAACCCTTCCAGTATGTTCAGTTGCTGATCAATCCCTCTCTGTGTGCCATAGGAAAGAGTAGGATAGGGTTAACAGAGAGACAGCGGGCGGGATCATGCAAATAACACACCAATGGAAAGAGTCAGAAACACTGGGATGTGAAAGAAACACATCAAATCTAGGATGAAATTGTCCCCGTATGAAAATTTCACTTAGGTGGCGGGCAGTATTGGTGAGGACATTGGCAGGGCTTGGGAGACATGTTCATGGTGCTTGCTGTAACCTGCAATGTCCTGGGAGGGAGTGCTCTTGTGGCTCCTCAGCACTGTGGTTTAAAGCTGTTTGTGGAGGTGGGAAGCTGTCTGTGTAAATCAGTGGTTCTCAACCTGTAGGTTCTCAGATGTTTTGGCCTTCAACTCCCAGAAATCCTAACAGCTGGTAAGCTGGCTGGGATTACTGGGAGTTGTAGGTCAAAACACCTGGGGACCCACAGGTTGAGAACCACTGGTGTAAGTGGACACCTCTGCCACATACATACATACACACTTTCACTATGTGTAGAGGTGTAGAGAATTGGCTGCGTGCCTTCTTTGGAGGAGGTGAGTCAGGATGCTTCCATTGCATCGACTGGACTTGAGTCTCGGGATCAGAGAGATGGACCCGGCTTTCCTCCTGTGTGATCAGTCTGTTGAAAAAGTCCTCCTGGTTTCCATGGCAGATCATTGTCAAGAAAGCCTGAGAGCATTCGACTCATTCCTGCTTCTGGAAAGGTGTGAGCAGCCAGAGGACCCAGTGACTGGATACCTTATGCAGGTGAAGATAGTTTTGGGTGATTTTTTCCATGGGTCCCACACTCATCTTGACATTTTGGGCTAGGTGGTGTATGGTTACGTGGTGATTTTCCAAAATGGTGACCTCCACTTACTGGATGGTGTGTTCGCCAATAGCAGAGTGGGGTCGTCCTGGAATTGGCGCTGTTTGCACCAAAGTCCGACCATATTGGAATGGACGATGTCAGTCCTTGACTCCATCATATGATGGGGAATCCTCACCATCAACCTCTTTCATCTCATCAAGCATCTCCTTTGGTGTTCGGCCTTTCAAGGAAAGCAACTTGAGGGCTGCTCTGTCTTCCACTGGGTCCATTCTCAAACCTCACACCACTTCAGCACCTGGACAATCAAGACCATGATCCGTTCTGAGTTGTAAATTGGCATGTAACCTATAGAGCAGCGGTTCTCAACCTGGGGGTCGCTGGGCTATTTTCCAGGGGTCGCAAAGCCTCCCTCTTCCTCTCCAAAATGGCTGCCGGCCCCTGTGCGAGCCAAACAGCCAGGTGCTCCTGCAGTAATAAAATGTCAGTATATCAGGAATAGTTCGTCCACTTTAATTATTGTTTGTTCAAAATGCTCTTGGTTGGCAGGGGAGCTATACATCCCAGCAACTCCCAAATGCCAAGGTCTATTTTTCCCAAACCTCTCCAGTATTTTCTGTTCGTCATGGGAGTTCTGCATGCCAAATTTGGTTCAATTATATTCTTGCTGGAGTTCAGAATGTTCTTGGTTGGCAGGGGAGCTATACATCCCAGCAACTCCAAAATGTAAAGATCTATTTTCCCCAAATTCCACCATTT